CTGTGTACATGTGCGCTTTTAGTCATTGTCTGTGTCAGCTGTGATCGTCGGGTCCTGGTTCCAGCTTGCGGTTGGTGATGAAATCGTTAGAGAAGCCTCATCGGGCTCCACACTGTCGCCTATGGTCTTCAGTTGACTGCTCAGTGTGGAGCAGAAAGGCCAGTTTCTAGAGCACAGCACACCAGTGCCTCAGTTCACAAATGCTTTTGTTTGCAGACGATTTGGTTCGCAAACAGAAGCATTTGGCAAAATTTTGTTTGTGTTTGCAAACTCTACTCTGGGTAACAAACATACCTGCAGCCATCTTTCCCACACAAACACAGACATGGCCATCTTTTCCTGAATCTTAGAACAAATTAAGTTCATGAACCAAGGTACCACTGTATTTGTCAAAAAATTCCCTAGTAAAGAATCTTCAGGTTGAAAAAATGACTAGAATTTTTTCAAGTTTTAACTTTATAAAAAAGCATCTGCAGAGATGGTTGTTAGCAACTTAAAGCGAGTTGTCAAGAAAAAATACAGACCTAGTTACAATTCTCAGAAATAAATTTGATAAAATCTTGAACATTTATAATTACAAAAACATATTAACACTGGAGCAAGATAGACATATAAACACATACATGGATGTAACACAGTTGAGGCCCTAAAATAAACTTGTATCGTTGACTTATTTTTTATTTCGTGTAAGAGTATACGTATTAATGGGGTATAATACATTTTCAAAATACACAACAGCATGCAGCAATCAAATCAGGATAATTATTACAAATAGTTGTACTTATGTGTAGGGCACGGGCTTTTAAAGTTTAAATACTTAAATTTTGATTTGGAATGTTAGTATGAATTTGTTTATGCCATTGGTAGGTAATGAGTGTAACTGCATATTTATTTTTCTTGTGTTGTGTTCCCCTGGAGACCTAAGTTACCAACACTACGTAGTTACAGGGTTTTGAAGATTATTCTAGGGGTGTTTATTTCGGGGGAAGTGTGGGCATTGGCCACTGACTGACAGACTGTTCCCCAAGGGTTTTTCTCACAGGATACTGTGGAAGGAGCCTGCCCAGGCCATGGACTCTGCTCTGCAGTACAGCACTTGCTTGTTATGTGTGGGGCTCTGGGTTAGATTCTCAAAAATGTTCTTTGCATTTTGAGTTTTTACTGATACTTTACTAGGCAACTTTGGTTATTTGGAAGCACTTTGTATATTTATACCTTTGATAGAAACAAAATTGAGTTACTTAATGACTAGCCAGTGTTTGTGAAGGCTACTTATTGAGATACTTGTAGTTGTTTTAGGTTAGTCTAGGGATTTCTAGAATCATTCCACTGTATTTGCATTTTTGTCTTTTTTTAAATGGTTTTTTGAGACAGGGTCTCACTATGTAGTTCAGACTGACCTGGAACTCACTCTGTAGTCCAGGCTGGTCTGGAACTCACAGCGATCCTCTTGCCTCAGCCTCCCGAGTGCTGGAATGATTACAGGTGTGCACCACCACGCCTGGCTTTAAGTCTTTTGAGCCCCTTCACTGTTAGTGTGTTTATTGTTTGGCTAGCTGTGTATCTAATACTACTTAATATCATTGGCTTGAACCAGTCTGATTGGAAAAGAACAATTATTAGGAAGTGTGGGAGATAGAAGCAAGGATCTTGAGCACTTGTCAATGGTTCACAAATCTCAGCTAATTATTGGTGTTTGGAGGGTTATAATAATGTATAGGAAAGTGCTTTATAAATGCTAAATTTCTGTCAAGTGTTAGTTGCCTGAAAAATGTTTGTCACCCTCTGTGCTGGTGTTGGGAATGAACGTTTGTTTGCGCAGCTACTGTGAAACATGATATGGAGGTTTCTCAAAAAATGAAAAGCAGAAGTGATTTAAGACCCAGCAAATTCACTTCTGGGTGTATATGCAAGAAAACGGAAGCGAGAGCTTAAGGAACATGCTGTCATCTTATAGCATCAATAATCACAGTAGCCAAAAGGTGGAAGCCACCTACTTGATTGTCTTTGGGTGCATGGTATATTATTCAGCCATGAAAAGGAAGAAGTTCTGCTACATGCTACAGTGTGGTGGAATCCTGCGGTTTGCACTAGTGAAGTAAGCCAGCCACGAAAGGACTAGTGTGTGTCTCCTCTCCTGTGAAGTACCTAGAGTAATCAGTTTCTAGAGACAGAAAGTAGAACGCAGGTTGCCAGGAGGGTAGAGGGAAGTGGGATGGGCAGTTAGTGTTTAGAGGGTGCAGTGTTGGTTTGGCAAGATTAAAAATGTCCTAGAGGTGTAGCAGTGAATGCACTTATTATTACGCACTGTTATTATTTTTAAACATGGTTAAGATGGGAGAAAAAGAGAGCCCCCCACGCAACAAAACACATACCTAGTTGTAAATTTTACCTTTAGTGAAGAGGGCAAATAATCATGGAATTGGGGATGAAGAGCAGGAGGAGAACAGTGATAGATGTTAAAACAGGGTGAGGGTCCGTTTCCGTGTCTTAGTGTATAGTTGCAGTTGTCCTTAAGATAATTTTTTTTAAGGCTACTCCTTGTCATTCTGTGTAGAAGAGGAAAGAATCTTATCACTTGTGGGCTTACTGTGGCCGCTGCCTTTTCCATTAGGCGTCCAGCAAAGAGAGTTGTGTGCCCGTGCGGAAGGGGCAGGGGCAGAGCTGCTTGTGGGGAGGAGATGGGAGGAGAGGTGCAGCTTGTGGGAGCACAGGATCCAGCCTCGGGAAGGCATGTGCGGGAACTGTGATGACGGAGTCTCCGAAAGCCCTAGTGCGGGGCATGATCCTCTCCATTGCTCATCTTCACACGAGGCGGATGTGCATGTTTTCACAACACGCCAGTGTTCTTCAGGACTGTGTTCACTTCTCCCAGTGAGCCCAGACTGGGCCAATTTGTTACCCATGCTTTTTGGGAACCACAAAAAATGTCTCAGTTCCCCAGCACTGTGAAGTTAGAATCGTGAACATCTCTGTGCAGAGACAGCTAGGTTCTCTTGTGATCCAGAGACAGGCACTGTTGTTCCATCGCAGGGAGACTATGCTGCCTGTGTATAAGGGCTTGTGTTGGTCGGATCCTTTCTGCAGACTGCAGTCTCTTTCTGTGAGCAGGATTAGCATCCTGCATTACCTCTGAGCGAACTGGACAGGTGAAAGGACAGGACTCGTGCAAGTTTCCCCTGTACAGAATCTGGTCATCAAGCCCCTTTAGGACAGGAGAAACGGATGAGTGTTTGAACCGGTAACATTAGATAGCATGGCTGATTATAAGAGAAAGGTGATGGGGGAATTTAATGCAGGAGCATGAAAGAACATTTTTATTTGCTCCGTGTTTAACTCTTGTACTGGACTAATTCTGGACAGCATTTCAGATTATCCTGTGGGCATTCCAAAAAAGTCTCCTAAAAACTGAAGTGTCTGCATTCTTGATGGTCACTGTCAGCCTGCTAGCACCCTCTTTTGGGTTGTTTATCTCTTCCTTAACAATTTCCAACAACTCTGACTATATTCATATTTTCTACACATTTTTTTTCTTTTGGTACTGGGTGTAGAACTCGGGAACTTGCCCTTGTGAGGCAGGTGGCAGAACCACTGAGCTAAATCCCCGACCCCACTACAGATATTTTTCTGTTTGTTCTTGCTGCCTGTGTATAAGGTGATACACTAGTTGGTTTGGTTTTCTGCCTTTTTCCCAAACATTTTTGTCCGAGATCATACACCATAATTAAAGTTCTGTGCTTTACATTGTATTCTTGAAGATTTCTCCCATTTTCTTGCAGTATTTATGAGGTTTCACATTTTTGCTTTAACTGTGATACATCAGGAGTGTGTTTTAGCCTCGGTAGTGGGAGTGGAGATAGATGCAGGTGATGTTTTCCGAGTCCGTGCTGTTTGGAGCTCACTGTCCTGATTTTCTGGCTGACAAACGTCATGCTCAGAGCAGCGGCCACACAAGGCAGGTAGCTGTTGAGTTGGGGACATTGCATGTGTGACGGAAGCCACAGGACTTCTCTTAAGAGACTGGTGGCTTCTGCCTGGTAAGGAGAAGAGAGTCTGGTGTGTCTGTCCTGGCCCGGGGCTAAGGGCTAACTCAGGACTCTTTGTGTTGTGAGGCTTACTAGCTTCTCTGCGGAAGAGATTGAGGCTGAACTAAGGAAACCGCTCATCGGCATATATTGGACATAGGGTGTACTGAAATAGGGATTGTTTTCATAGAAACGTGATTCTGTAATTTGTCTATTTCTAACTAGTCACTAGAATTCATTGACCCTTTTACTGGGAAACTTGATGGTACCATTCCCGAGGTGACACATGGCGTTTTCAAGTGGCTGGGATGGTACTGAGCATAAAGTTGGGTGGCTTTTGCTTGCAGCCCCACAAACTCCTCATGTTTTTGCCCAGTGCGTGCCACCCTCCTACCTCTGGTGAGGACAGCAGGGCACATGTCGTCTACCCTCACAGCACAGGCACAGATGAGGGCCTTGGCTCTAGGGCTGCAGACTCGCCAAGGAGGTCCGGGGCCTTCTGTCGCCCTTGGTGTTGACTCCTACGCATAGAAACATCCACATTGGTTGAAGCTAGGCATTCTGAATACACAAAGTAGTATTTCCTAGAGCCAGACCGTTGGTGTCCTCAGCATTGCACTTAGCTTTCTTTTTCTTTTCTGCCATGGTTTATGTTTAGAAAAACAAGTTAAATGGCAACCTTACCTTCCTTAGTTTCATTAGTGATACTGTTATATTCCCACATAAAAAAATAAATGTGTCATATCTCAGGAAATGAATAGAGTACTACTTTAGCTTTGTAGAACCAACCTGGAATTAACAGGATAAGAAGGGCATCTGTCCCTTCAAAACAGGATTGTGACTTTCCGTGTAGAAAGGTGTACATGTTCATTTTTCTGTGATAAAGATAACTTCTGATATTTTATATCTTAGTGTCATGTTAGAGATTTCATTTCATGATCATTTGTTCATTCACATGTATTTTTATTTTTAGCTCTAAGCGAAAGACATGAGGCCTCAGCCTGACATGAGGTGATTTTGAGGTCATCCGATTTCTGGCTAGAAGTGTGCTGTCACCTGGTCCTGAAACCACTTCACACAGAATGGTAATGGCAAACTTGAGGGACAGAGAGGGGCCTCACATTTCTGTGTCTGTTCCTATCCCTGTTCCTTCCTTTGTAAGACTGAAAAATCCTTAGGGAACAAAAGGCATTAAGTAATGTACTGACATAGCCTGACTGAACCGTGCTGATGTTCCCAGCTGGATTAACACCAGTCTTCATGTGCTAATCAAACCTTGTAAAATTGTTTAAACACAGGGTCTTTTTCTCTTTTCCAAGTGACCTCTTGAGCTACTTATCTGGTAATAAAATAATTACTATTTTAGGAATTTGCAGATTGAATTTTTTTTTAAACCAGTAGGATTAATAAGTTTTCAGAGTAGAAAGTAAGGATTCTTGCCACAGATTCTCTTCCTGTGCTAAAGAAATTTGATGTTTTATGTAGATGATGTGTTTTACTTTTTAAAATGTAAAGTGCCTATTGAGAATTTCATTTGTACACTTGTCTGCTTTAATTGTTAAAAGTTCAAAATATATTTCCTCATTGTACATAATAGCATCATTTTTCTTCATTCAGCTTTTGGAGGAGGAGTTCGGCCAGGTTTATTCTGACGGCCCCCGTCTTTCTAAGTATGTGATGAAACGGTGCTTCAGGCCCACGCTACGCTCCCCTCCCTGGAAACAGAATTTCAGTAGGGTTCTTGGCTCAAGTTAAGATTTTACATTAAGCCACTAGTTAGGAGAAGTGTTGTGTTACTCTACCTCATTTCCTGTCTTACATGTAATAGCATTAATAGTAAAAGCTGCATCACTTAGAAAGTGAGATTTTGGCCCCATTCTAGAGGGTGATATTGATGCACATTCTAAATTCTGTTCCAGCAGTATTTTTGTGTTTAAACAAAAGTCGTATTTATCTTTATGTTTCCTTCTAGAGGCCCAGTTGTCACTCTAGTTCTGGGTCACTATTTTTCTGTAGCCTTTTCATGCCCCTTTCATATGTTAGATATTGAGAATGACTTGAAAGTTGGAGAGTATGTCTGTGGCTTTCTGTAGTGGTGGAGAATCTTTCTTGTGCACTGAGGAGCAGTGAGCTGCGGTGGAGCCCTGGCCCTGCTGGGTGCCCCGGCGTGGGTGACCTCCTGTCTGTGGCCTCACCCCAGCCCAGTCTGCTCTAGAGGGCCCTGAGGAGCCCCGAGTTCTTTGTTTGGCCAGCTCTTCTCGTGTAGTTTTATGTTTCTACACATGTGAACTCAGAACTGTTAGTTTTCTGTAAAATCACTAAATACGCTGGTCTCAGCATGGTGTTTCAGTCTATGGTAGGTAGGAGAGCTTTCACTGTAGTTCATTTTTGTGTAGTAATAGCATTTGAATGAGAAGCAGATACTGATAACCATCTTTTGGGAAGTTCTGATTTCTTCTGCTAGTCCCAATTTTTTTTTTCTTTTATATAAAACTCCTAACTGGATTGGGCTGTTTTGAAGTTGGAAAAATCTTCAAAGAGCATCTTTCTTATTTCATGTAATAGAAGTTAATGTGAGACGACAAACACTTTAACTACTGTTAATTGGCTAAAAAAGTAGTTTCTAAAGGTATGAGTTGTACAGGAACAAAATCTGTAATTTCATTTATGCGTCTGAATGTCACTATGATGATAGCTTTCACAAGAAATATAGCTAATGCCATTTGAAAGCTTCACATTGTAAATGTGAACACATTTTGACCCAGTAAATATTAGATAGTTAAATAGGTAATATGTATGATGTTTAATATTTATTTTGATAAACTTTCTTGTTTCTAAGTAAAACTGTAATATTAGATTTGAGCTATATATTATATATGTAAGATGAGAAAAACATTAACATTACAATGTTTTGAAAATTTAAAAGTAAATACCTTTTCTGAGAACGTCTTTTCCTTTGACATTGTTTAATTCTGTTCCCTTTTTTGTTTTTTAGGTTTGCAATTTTTTTTGGTGATGGCATGTTCAGAATCTTAGATCCCTAAGTTCAATATGTTGGAAATATTTAGAAATCTTGGAAATTATATGATTACTTAGTAGGTGAAACAGTAAATAATAAAAGTATACAAAAGAACTTTGTCCTTTTAAGTTGGCTGCATGTTTTAAATTGTTAGCTGTCAGTATTAGTGTCATACTCTTTTGAAGGTTTGGGAATCTTAGGGATTTCATATTTTCCCAGGTAGTTATGTAATTTCTCCCATGCCTGTTCAGTTAGCTTGTTTTCTTTTCTGTGCTTTGCAGTGTGTGTTACTTAGACCAGAGTAATTATTGATCAGAAATAAAGAAGAGGGAAAAACAATCATCAGGTGACAATCCAAAGGTGGTGATTACAAAATTTCAACTTGGAAACAGTTTATATTAGAATTTGCAAATTCTACCCAAATTATATCCGAATACACTTGTGATAAAATGCTACCAGTTATTATATAAGACAGAGATGCTAACGAGGAAGGAAAAGAGCCGTTCATTTTCACCTCCTTGCTTCCCCCTTCTCTCTTATCAGATGAATGAATTGTATAGTAGCTAAAAGGTAGGTGGTGTGAATAAAAAGGAAAAGAAGGGAAACACCTCTGGTCTCTAAGAAGGATCAATTTTCCTCCAGAGTTGGAAGGTCACCTTCTTCCATGTACCTGAACAGTTTCCAGCTGTGGACTACTCAGTAAGCCTGGACTGTGGCCAGGGGTGACTTTGACCTGGGATGGGCGGAGTGCTAGTATTGCACAGTGGTAGACAGCCCTTGAGGAGCTGTTGTGCCCATCTCTTCCCGGCCTCGCCCGTCACTCCTGGGATTAAGAGATGAGAACATGTTGGGTGAGACAGATCAAATATGGCTGCCTCCCTTCTCTTGTGACCACAGTTGGACAAGACTGATTTGTAAGACCACATACAGAAACAGCTTGGAAAAGGATTGAAGGACAAAGATGAAGAAAGTGCAGGGAACTTGAGCCTGATAATAGCTCGGGAGAATATCACATACGTATTTATTGCGAAGTTATTGGTGGATGATCCAGAATTCATGAAAACTGTACATCTGCAGTAGACGTTTCCTAAGGTTTCTGTTGGAAAGCTTTTAGGGGCTAAAGGACTGCCCATTACCCCTGCTCCCTTTTTTGTTTTGCTTTGTTATAAGAGGAATTGGCTGATGTATGTTTATAGCAGGCACAATAAAAACATTAGATTTTTTTTAATCAAGTTACATTTTCATCTAAACATGTGTTGCCTATTTAGCTGTTTCCCCATTACAACTGGCTCTTTAAAAACTCCTTCTGTGATACTTTTGTCAGTATAGGTGTTTCCCCTAAGCCAGTTCTAGCTATTGACTGGGCCTACACAGAAGGAATTATCCAGGCAAGAAAAAATTTAGTCCTTGCTAGAATGAATATTTTAAAGACCCTCTTAGATTCTAATAACTGAGTACAAATGAAAGAGATGCGAGAGTGGGAAAAACTTGAGTCTCACAATAGAAAGTAGGGTGGGTAGATGTGAATTTCTTACAGCTAACTTACAATGCATCGAAGGAAGGGAGTTACCTTCCTGGAGAGAAGATGGTGTGCAAGATGCCTCTGTAAGAGGCATTTTGTTGTTTTGGGTGACGCACTAGCATACGGCCGTGTTTTAGGGATAGTGATGTGATCTTTAGAAATATGGATGCATTTCCAAACAGTGAGTTTAATTTTATTCTGGTATGTTCTAAAGGGTTATGTGCCTCAAAGATTTGCGTAATTCCAAAAAGCTGGGAAATTAGAAAAATATCATGAATGAAGTTGTTTTGTCCCTGTTGTGTAACTTCAGGAAATACTGTAGAATACTGAGCATTGCAGAGAATTTAGTTGTATGCATATAACCAGTGTTGGATGGTTGCTTCCTAGGAACTTTTGAATGAAATTTTCTCTTTAAGCCTCTGTCAGCCTTCATTATATTATAAGAGTGTTTTAGTGTGCATCTCGTGGGAAACCTGTACATTCCTGAGCCACTGCACTTCATGCCTCCAACACGTTGCTTGCAATCCAAAGTCTGATTCTCTTTATCCCAGGAGGAACAGAGCTTTGACAGTCTGGGTACACTAAGCCCAGAAGGACCCAGGGAAAGCAACCTAAGACTACGGCCCTGTTTTGGCGTTTTAGATGAACTCCTGTCAGACATTTAAGGAAAGCCAGGGTTCCTCTTGGCAGGAAGACTGCACAGATCTAGCGGTTCTGTGCGATTTCCAGGTGTGCAGGGACTGTTCTTGGCTGAGTGTCATGAAGCCCTGATCTGAAAGATCCTCTGCCTGTCCTTGCTTCAACTTCATTCTGGCTCTGTCAGTGGTTCTGTGCTGCCTTGGATTGGGACATCAGTCCTGAAGGTTGCTACTGTCACTCCACACAGACCTGCAACCACAGTCGAGAGCTTCACAATGAAATGGACCAACGCTCTGTGCTCTGCGAAGTGGGAGTCAAGTACAGGAGGAAACCGAGCTGAGGGCTCCTGCTGGTGAAAGGGTTATTTCAGAATAAGTTGAATATTAATGTCTTGTTTTTGAAGTGAGCATGCTTTTTGCTAAAATTTCTGATGATTGTGAAAGTTTCCTCCCTGGGTCCTTCTCGTGTCTCAGGATATCTGATTCATGCTGTAAACTCTGTACTTCAAATTAAAACAGAGATTGGAAATTTGGAATTCTGTTGTTTTGTGACTTTTGAATTTCAGCACATTTTCAGAAAAATTGTCAAGTTTCCCAGATAATTTTATTTTTATTCCCTTCTTTCCGAGTGTATGATTATTTCTCAGTTTTGTTCACTCATTTATAAATGTGGAGAAGAGTATTTAAATCAGTTCACGTTTTGACACAGATTGGATGCATTTGATTTAAATTATTAGAAATGTACTTCAGCAACATAAAAGTCCACCACACAGCTCCAGTCTCCCTTGTGTACCTCAGCTCAGCTGCTTACCCTGTCACTGAGAATTTCCGGCAACGTCCACCTCACTCAGATCATCCTCAGAAAATCAAGAAATCCTGGGAGCTCTTCTCTTGGGACTGAGTAGGTGGAAGAGCGTTTCCAGGGACGACATAGCCCATCTGAGAAGCACTGCTATCTGTCTGTGAGATAGAATCTGTCTTTCTGCATTGAAGCCGTAGACACGAAATAGCCTTGTAACGTGTGCCTTAGTGTAAGCGAAACATAACTTGTCTCTAAGACATTTCTTTCAGTACAGTCTGGTGGAGAGGGGCCTGGGTCAGTCAGCCGGCTGAAAGTTAGACATGGTTTATTCAGGATTTGAAGGTATTTTCTTCTAAATTCCCCTTTAGGTATAAAGTTCTGGGATTGTGCAGTGTGTGCTTCACAATGTCACCTCTCCAGAGAGGAGCCCGCGTTCATCCTGCCCTCAGAGGCGCATGCTGTGTCCCCGCGGCCGTCCCTAGTGTTGATGTGAACGTGCAGCGGGACTCACCTGTGCTGCCCGTTCTTCCCCAGTGGCGCTGTCCACTTCTGGGCGGGCCGGTGAACCTCACCTGCGGCTCGTCCTCCTCCTTGCCCTCCCGTCGTCGGGCTCTGTCATCTTGCTTTTTGTCTCCCTCCCCTTCCCTGCGGGGAAGTAGAACAGATGAGTCAGGGATCTTGGCTGTCCAGGGTCTGTCTCTGGGGTCTTCCCCATCTATGCACAGCAGCGTAGTGTTCTGAAGGCGGCCTCATTTGTGGTGGTGAAGTAGCCTCCTTGGCTGTGTGCGCTGCTGTGGGCAGAGCTGACCTCAGAGCTTGCTGGGTACTGGAGCTGTGCGCCAAGGGAGGCCGTTGAGATCTACCTCTCTTCCTCAGGTGCTGGTGAAATCGTGCAGGGGAAGCGATTAAGATTTTGATGGAAAGATTGGTTGAAATAAGGCCTCTTTTTAGGCCCTCGTGAACCCACACTGTTCACATGTGTCTTCAGAAAAATTATAATTGCTTAAAAGGTACCTACCATATTATACTGATACAATAAAAATGAGGTAATTACTCTAAAATTTTCACTATCACTTTCATAATCGCTGCCTATGTGTTATTTGTAAAAGGATACACTGCAATAATTTTCTGACTCTTGCTCTAATATTATTTAATTATTTAAAACAATACTTTTATTTTTGAGAAAAGTTTTAAAGCAAGACTTTACTTTTCATGCAATGTACAAATATTCCCAAAAGCTGCGTGCGTGCATTTTCCATATATAAAAGTTAATCAGGGTCTGTGTATTTTCTTAAGTGAGAGTCTCTGAACTTTGTAATTACTAAGTGCCGGGAGTAGGGTGAGACTGCAAATGAACGGGCTCGTATATGGAGCAAGCTTTGAATGAAGTAACTTTGTCCTCTGAAGCAGCTTTCAGTTAATACATTTTTGTTTACGGAAATGCATGTGAGTTGAAGGAAATGAATTAAAAGCCATATAAATAAGTCTTAAGTCAGGGCTTACAGCTTTTCCACCCAGCACGAACAGTGTAGTAAGGGTGGTGCGGAAGGAAGGGTTTAATCTTGACCCTTCTGTAGGGCTGTGTCGTGTGGCTCTGAAACAAGGACAAGGTGAGGATGTTTTTCTGTTTTTAACTTGGCCTTTTTATGCCTTTCTCACAGCTATATGCCCTTTATTTTGTAAAATCAAAAGTGTGTAGTCCTGCTTTCTCTAAAAATAGTTTTAAAATATTTTATTGGTCTGTGAACTCAGGCCGGGAGCTGTTGTTTCTTGGAATTGTACCGTCAGTGTCGTCATGCTGAGGTGTCAGTTCTCCATTTAACTTCATTTATCCCATGAGCCATAACTCTCAGGACAGTAGCCAGGTGTCTTAGAACAGCAGGGGAAAGTTTAGGTCATCACTTTAGTGCTGTTGTACGATGGGAGCCATTGTTTTAAAAGCCTCACATGGTAGTCAAGAGGAGAATTACCCCACTTCAACTCTTAACCAAAACTTTCTGGAGATCTCAGAATAGATGATCAGTAGTTACAGAGGTAGAAGTAAACTGAAGGCTCAGATAATGTGAAGATCCACTATGACACAGACTTTAAGGAAATCATTTTTACTGCTGCCTTACCGATAATTCTCTAACTTGCTAGCCGTCAACCTAGAAAAATATCGTAGGCCAGTAAATGGCCAAAATGCTGCAGTGATTGTGACTTACATTATTTTTGTTTGTACTCATCTATAATACCAGGCGTAGGGCTGACTTCACATGCCATAGCCCTGTATGATCAGATTAACTGGATGGAAAGGCTCTGGAGGAGCAGACATGAAGGGTGTATTTGGAGCAACTCATGGGCCAGCCGTTCTGGGAACTGCTTTCTGTACAGTGTTAATGAGCAATTACTGAGGAAGACCCTGGGATTTCTTTTCCTTGTCTTGTCCAAGAGTGTCTTTCCTAAATGGGTGCTTGTAGGCAGGAAGTTCAGAGGAAAGTCAAGATCTTTAGTATGGTTTATAGTACTCCAAATTACCTACCCTTATCTCCCTGGATAGTGCAAAATTCTTACTGAATTGCCCATTAGGGAAAGCACTCCATAATCTGCATTAAGTGTCTTCCTTAGAGACTTTCTTAGGAGGCCCAACGTTGAATTATTAAACCCTGGGCTATGATTAGTGAGGCAGACACCTGCTTCCTGCATCAGTGGGACTTGAAAGCGGGAATGAAATTACTGAATAAAGTGAAATCGGCTGGGGAGAGATGTGGGCCTCTGGTGTCGCACTGCTCCACATCGTTTCCCAAGGGTGCCAGTGCAAGACCCTCCACGAAGGCTTTCAAACACTGCTATGCTGGATGGTGCTATT